GTCACACTCCCCGAGCGCCCTGCCTCCCCTGTGGCCACACTGCCAGGAACGGCCATTTGCAGGACGCATACCCACGAGACCCACCGCACCCGAGGGCCGCTCTCCGGCGAGGCCCACGCCTGTACAGGGCCGCATAAAGCCGGGGGCCGGGGCCGGGGCCGGGGGAACGGCCGGCCAGGCACGGGAGAGGATGTGAACAGGATGTGTGGCAAGCACGTGCAACTGAGCCTCCGCATCTGGCCGCTGGGAAGCTCCAACCGGAGGCCTCTGGACTTTGTGGGGCCCACCTGGACGGTCGTCCCCAGTACCACAGCGAGAGGAGCCATTGGCAGTCTGCAGGTCTGATGGACACTTGGAAATGCAGACCAAGATGGCGCTCAGGGGCCTCTCTAGTGTCCAAATCCTTCTCCGTAGTCTGGACAGGAGGCAGAAATTCCAGCAGCCCCTCGATGCCTCAGGATACTGAGGTTACCAGTCCAGGGACTGCCTGTCCCACTGCAGATTCCGCATACTCATCAGAGCCAGCAATAGTTAGTACCCTATTTCCCCAGAAGCCAGCCCCTTATGCCAGGTGAAGTTGTGATCAGAGGCCCTGCAGCCCTGGTTTACCCACCTGCGCCAGGACACCAAGGACCCAAGGCCTGCATACTCACCCAGACCTGCTGTAGACCACAAACAGCACACAGTCTGCCAGCCAGAGCACATCCTAGTCCTCTAGGAGGTCTCTATACCCACCCAGCCCAGGTACCATGGGCCTCCCCAGACCAGAGTACATGCTCCATGGGAAAGGCCAAGCTGGCACTCCAAGCTCATAGCAGGTTTTATTGTGAACACGGTAAAAGTCAGGGTCCAGACCCATCCCCACCAGTGCTGGACCGGGGGCTTTGAGTTGCTGAGGTCTGTGGCAAAGGAGTATGGGAAGAAGACAATCCTGAGCGTCCCTACTGGAAGAGCAGGACGCACTGCCCTTCCCCCTACGTGGACACTTCCACACCACTTGGCACTGCACCCTCAGCTTTCTCTCCTCACACAGGATCTGGTGATGGGCAGGTAGCCCAGCCACAATCACCCAGGGCAATTCACACTCTGGGCTGCAGAAGCAGGAAGCCAGTGACAGGAGATGGAAGGTCTTACCAAAGGACCTGTCCCAGGGGGACTGGGCAGGGTGGGCCAGCCAGGTGGGCAGGCATCCAGTTTCCAAATAGGTAGCCTGGGCTACCTCACAAGGCCTGGCTCCACGCAGAGATAGCCAGTGGCCTATCAACAGCTCTTCACAAAGCAACGAGCCCAGCAAGATTCGGGGTGGGAAGGTCTGGTCCACCCGGCCTGGGGGTCAGCAACTGCTTCAATCCCTCAGGTGGAGGCGTTCCAGGGCCCGCCTGGCCGGTGACCGCAGGCCCAGGGGACAGCCACGCAGGGGCTGTGGGCTGCTGGACACCGGGCTGAGAGTGTGTGCCACGGCAGACCTTCTACAAGCCAGGTCTCCAGGTAGGCAGTACAGGAGGGTCAGCACAGGCTGGCAGGGCCTTCGGAGAAGCCCAGGAGCCAGGTCAGGGATTTGGGAAGAAGGCCCACTCACACAGAGAACAGGGCCGTTCTGGTAGGCCCCTGTGTGGGTCCGCACTGTTCCCAAGACCAGTGCCATCTGGCAAAGAAGGATGGCGGCTGTGACGACTGCCACCAGCAGAGGGATGACGGCCGTGAGCGGAGACGGGCCCGCTCAGTCCTGCTTTTCCCCTCTCTGCCTCCAGGGGTAGATAAGCTCTCCAAAGAACAGCTTGCGGCACAGAGAGCCCCAGGAGTGCTTGGGAGGGCAGCCACAGCTGGGGAGGCGGTAGGTGTGCGCCACGCGGCTGTAGGGCAGGGGGTTTATCTGGAAGGACAGGGCAGTGGTGAGCAGGTGAGTGGTCAGGGTACTGCAGGGCTAGAATAGATCCATCCACCCCAGGATCCACTCAGCAGAGACTGCAAATGCCCAAGCCTCTGGGAGACACCAGCGGGGGTGGGCGTCTGCCCAGGAGGGAACTTAAGTCAGCCTCAACCCTGCCCACTCACCCTCGCAGGGACCAAGCACCCAAGACAGTCTGGATGACAGGAAACAACGGCATAGTCACAAGCTTTCGCTAAGTTCGTTTCTTTTGGACCTTGAGCCCTGTGGGGCCCAGGACAGGAGACGGAGAATGGAGCCAGGTGGGCAGCCCAGTGTGTCTCTGACTCAGAGCTAGAGCCCCCATCCATGGTGGGCACACGTGGGCCGCCAGTGGGTCTCAGGCACAATGGGTCATGATACTGAGCTGTGGCTGGCTAACCTCGTGGACCCCAATCCTCACTTCCGCTGGACCTTTTTGCTGACACATAACCCTGGGCTGGCGTGCTAACACTCAGGCCCCACAGCAGCTGACCCCCAGCTGTCCCACACGGTGGCAAAGCACGGTAGAGCAGTGAGGAGCCCGGGAGACCTTACCTGCATCAGGAGGCAGAGAGGTCTGCCTGCCTTGTGCTCCAGGACTCGGAACTTCACTCCAGCTGCAAAGAGAACAAGGTGCTTAAGAGGTAGGTGCCAGCCTCTATCCTCAGTGCTCCACAGAGTGCCCACAGGTCCTGCCATGTGCTGTGGGTTCCTGTAGGCAGACAGCTCTAATGGGAAAGGCCTTGTCACGCAGCACCTGGGGGGGCACCTAGAGAACACAGGCCTGTCTGGACACTCAGGCCTCGCCTGCTTCCCATCCTGATCTGCCTCTATAGAAAAGCACAGAAGACAAAAGAGAGTCCTGCGAGGGAGAGTTGAGGGGCATGGGAGGGGGAGGCATGCGGGGCGGGGGGCCGCAGGCTGACAGTACGTGGACTGTCCAGCAGCACACAGAGCACGTGGATGGCAGCTGCCCTGCTGACTACTCAGTGTGTTCATCAGCTTGGGGACCTATGACAACACAGGCTTGCAGTTAGGGCTCCAAGTTTAGGAAGTCCCAAGGTGGAAGGTTCTTAAACAGGCTGGGAAGGTGGCTCAGTGGTAGGGTACTTGCTAGCATGCATGAAGCCCTGGGTTGGATGCCTCAGTACCACATACACAGAAAAAGCTAGAAGTGATGCTGTGGTTCTAGTGGTAGAGTGCTAGCCTTGAGCAAAAGAAGCTCAGAGACAGTGCTTAAGCCATGAGTTCAAGCCCAGGACTGGAAAAAATAACAGGAGTGACTGGGCAATGATGATCCACGCCTAGAATCCTAGCTACTCCAAAGGCTGAGATCTGAGGTCAGAGTTCAAAGCCAGCTTGAGGAGAGGTTCGTGAGACTCGAATTAGCCAGTAATAAGTTGGAACTAAAACTGGGCACTGGTGGCTCACGCCTGCCATCCCGGCTGCTCGGGAGGCTGAGATCTGAGAATCACAGTTCAAAGCCAGCCAGAGCCTAGTTCAGGAAATCTGTGGGCTCCCAAGAATACGTTCAAAGTCAGAAGAGACAAGCCACAGTCCCAAGTCTTGCAGGGACAGGCTCCCCTCAGGGTGTCTGGCCAACCCTCAGCTGGTGTCAGAAAGCAGCATGAAGCAGGGGATCCGGGGAAAGCCAGGTGCTGAATACCGAGTGAGGCCTGTGCAAGATGCTTGTCACACAGGGTGTGGCCAGCCACACCCCTCACCCAGCCTGTCCCTTCAAAGCTGGGGGCAGACACAACCCACAGTCAGACCAGCGTGTACTGAACACACGGAAAAGAAAAGACAAGGGCAGGGCACCCAGTGGCCACTGAGTGATGCCCTGGGACTGATGAGGGGCTGAGAGCTGGAGATCAAGGTTTGACGCCAGCCCAGGCAGACAGATCCAAGAGACTTAGATCCCCATTTAACCAGCGAAAAGCTGGAGGGGCTCATGTGCTGGTGGCTCAAACCTACAGTCCTAGCTACTCAGGAGGCTGAGATTTGAAGATCGAGGTTCAAAATCTGCCTGGGCAGGAAAGTCTGTGAGACTGTTATTCCCAAAGGTAAGCCATGGCTCCAGTGGTAAAGCGCCAGCCTTGAACACAAAATCTCAGAAACAGCGCCCAGGCCCTGAGTTCATGACCAAAGACCAGCACACACACAAAAAAGCCAGAAGGGAGATGGAGATGTGGCTCAAGTGATACAGTACCCAAAAATAAATTTATTAATTAAAGAGCAAGGGGGCTGGGAAGTTGGCTCAGTGGTAGAGCGCTAGCCTTGAGCTGGAGAGCTGTGGGACAGCGCCCAGGCCGAGTTCAGGCCCCACGACCAACAAAAAAAAAAGAAAGAACGAACAAGAGCCACACATGGACCTCAGGGGACCTCCTGCCCGACCTCCCAGGAGACAGCTGGCTGGAAGCTGGCCGGGACAGTCTTGGCAGAAGCTGGGGACTGGGAGGGCCTGCCTTCCGGAAGCACCAGAGGCGGCAGTGCAGGTGTGTGCGCCTCCCTGCCAACGGCCAGCCAGAGCACACAGCACACGGTACTTACCTGCCAGCCGGTAGGGCCGGCAGAGCCGAAGGCCAAGGGAGTAGAGAGGCAGCGAGTTGATGAGGTCCACGAGCAGATGAATCAGGCCCTGCACCGTGACCACGAGGAGCCGGAGCTGCAGGAGGGGCCGCTCAGGTCGCTGGGCCAGGGCTGCACACAGAGCCTGACTCATCGTGTCCATGAGCAGAGCAGCCCAGAGCCCAGAGAGCCCGGGCCAAAGGGGGGCCCAGGGGCTCAGGGACGAAGTGTGGATGAAGTGTGGCCGTGGACCAGAGACTAGCAGTCAGGAGGGAAGGAGCCAGGGGCAGGTCAGTCCCTGTACCAGGACAGGAGCTGCAGAACGCCACACTGACAGGCCACCTGGGTGCCAGGCATAGCCCAGCCAGCACCCACCACAGGTGCGGCTCTCCCCTGTGCCCAGCCCCAAGCCCAGCAGGGGAAGGCAGGACCCTCATCTGCCTCAGCCCCAGAGGGCCCACCAGAGCCATGGCCCCGAGGGGAAGCACAGATGGCCGGCCGATGCCCCGCTCACGGTGGAGGCTGCAGCGAGAGCGCAGCACCGACTCTCACCAGCGTGAACACCAGGTAGTAGAGGGCGGTGGTGGGCAGCAAGAAGACGAGGATGGTGAAGAGCAGGGTCCCGATGAAGAGCTGCAGGGGAGACGGGACGGCAGACCTGCTGGGCTGGCCCTCCGCGTGGCTCTCCACACGCCCCTGCCCCTCCCCCAGCCAGTCAGGTCACCGCAGCTGGGACTGCCGGTCCTCCCACGCAGCGCAGGGTGGCCGACGCAGCACAGGGCGGTGCCCACCAGCGCCGTGCACCTGCCGGAGCGCACGGCCGCACACCACACAGTACCAGACAACGTGGCCGCCACAGGCCCCGCCGAGGGGGTGCAGAGTTTGAACCCACCTGGGGAAAGTCTGCTGGTCTGATGGCACCTCCCCCAGGACAACCCTGCAATCGGAGTGGGCTGCCCCCTGGTGGCACCCCTCTTTGAGCCTGAGGTACCTGGTCCAGGTCATAGGAGCAGGAGTCCACACGCTGGCGCAGAACGTTCCACTTCTTCCCCCGGAACAGCCGCCAGAGAGAGGACAGGCCGTAGATCTTCAGGCAGTAGAGCCTGCAGGATAGAGGCAGGCACGGTGCAGGGCAGCCAGGGCCCTGACTTCACCCACCCACCCTCCCGCCATGGTGCACCGGCTCAGAAGCCTTCACGCTCACCTGGCACCGTAGACGTAGAAGCAGTAGATGTGGAAGGTGAGGAGAGCAACAATGTCTGACAGGATGGACAGGGCGACAGTCAGCCCCAGGCAGGCCGAGAGGCCCACGTGCCACAGGATGCGCTCAATGAAGGGGGACATGAGGTGGATGTAGCCTGCAGGACGAGGGTCAGCCCTGAGAGGCGCCCTGGAAAAGCCCGGCACCCTGAGTTGCTCAGTGGGGACAGAGACCTGAGACCTGGGAAACAGTGCCTGATTGTGCCCAGCCCGGCAGGCTTCACACACCGGAGGCCAGGAGGGCGGGGCAGAAGGGACGGCCCGACCAGCCTCCCTGCCCTCCACGCAGTCTGGCTGGGCCCCTCACTCCACATCGGCACTCACTGATCCACAGGTGTATGTGGTACAGGAAGAAGCGGCCTAGCACCTGGTCCAGGGCCCGGTTCATCTTGAGCCCGGCCGGAGCTCCCATCAGCCACTGCAGGAGGTGCTGGAGCTCCTCGGCTACACGCTGCAGAACACGGGACGTGGGCAGGGCAAGGGCAGTTAATCCTTCCTTCCTCCAGGTGCAGGGACACCCTCTTCCCAGAGGCCAGCTGAGAGCCAGCTCTCCATTCCCCCCAGCAGGCCATTCACAGCCTGGGCAGCTGACAGCTGCCCCTGGTCCCTGGGGCCTGTCCCAGCCGTTCCTCACGGACAGCCATCTCCACCTTACAGTATTCCTCTTTCTCCACTTTACCACTTCAAACCCTGGGTGATGCCTGGACAGGGCCCGCCTCAGGCCTGCAGGAGAACCTGTGAGTCTGTGAGTCAGTCTTCTGCCAAAGGCCCCAGCCCACCATCAGAGGCCTGGGGCGCCAGGGCAGTGACAGGGGCCATCCCATGAGGTCTCAGACCCATCAAGGGCCCAGGCAGCAAGAGAATGCTGGACAACAAGCACCCCTGGACAGCAAAGTTCTGGGCACCCAGGGGAGAGATGTTGTGCGTGTGCAGGTCATGTGGTGATGGGGGTGGGAAGGGTCCCCCACACCACGCTAAGGGAAGGTGAGGCCACAGAAACATCTCTGCGCCCCACCCTATCCATCCCAACCCCTGCGATAGCCTCAGCCCTCAGGGCCAGCAAGAGAGGGAAGAAAACATTCTTTATAAATAGAGCTTATTTAATATTTAAAGGATAAAAAAGCTTGTCGCAGGAAAAAACTTCATTTTGAAATTAAATATTTATATTTTTGAGCAATTCTGTAAAAAAGAGGTCTAAGACAAAGTTAGCCACACGGCAGAATACAGAAACAGCCATGCTCTCAGCCCTTCCCACAGCCTCCTCCCCTAGGCTGGCTTCCCTGCTTTCCCAAAGCCCGTGGTAAGCCCAGAGGCTTCTTCTCCTGACCCCAGAGTCCTGGCCTGGCCACACAGGTTCACAGAGGCTTTCAGGTAGCTGAATACCAGTGGCTCACGCTTATAATCCTAGCTACTCAGAAAGCTGAGATCTGAGGATCACAGTTCAAAGCCAGTCCTGGCAGGAGTCAATGAGACAGATTCCTATCTCCAACTAACCACCAAAAAGCTGGAAAATAAAATAAAGAAAAGGGGCTGGGAAAGTGGCTCAGTGGTAGAGCGCTTGCCTTGCATGCATGAGGCCCTGGGTTCGATTCCTCAGCACCACATAAGCAAAAAGAAAAAAGCCAGAAGTGGCGCTGTGGCTCAAGTGATAGAGCGCTAGCCTTGAGCTGAAGAGCTGAGGGACAGCGCCCAGGCCCAGAGTTCAGGCCCCACAACCAGACCCAAAAAATAATTAAATAAATAAAATAAAATAAAAAGAAGAAAAAGCCTGTGGACTGAAAGTCCAAAGAGAACACCCTGCCCAGGAAGACACTCTCTTAATGGTAGAGTTAGGTTTGGGATCCAAGGAAGAGGGAGGTTAAAGACTCAGAGTGGATGAGGAGGGAAGGCCCACCCCCAGCCCTGATACGTTGCATGGGCCATGAAGGGAAAGCCAGGCCCAGAAGACAAGCTTGTGCCGCTGGCTGTCGGCGTAGGAAGTATGGACTTAGCCCGGGAGTAGCTGGGCCCTCCAGACACCTCTGGGCACCGGGAGGCTCCTGAGGCTGGTGGAGATGGGAGGTCACCAGAAAGGGAGTCAATGAAGATCTTCAACCCTCGCCACAGGGGCCATCTTTGGGAAGACATGGTGAATACTTGGCGTTGAAATACAAGTCTGTGTCCCCCAGGAACTTTCCCTTTTTTTTGGGGGGTGGGGGTGGGGAGGCAGTCCTGGGGCTTGAACTCAGGGCCTGGGCAGTGTCCCTGAGCTTCTTTTGCTCAGGGCTAGCACTCTACAACATGAGCCGTAGAACCACTTCCGGCTCTTTCTGTTTATGTGGTACTGAGGAATCCAACGCAGTACTTCATGTGTGCTAGGCAAACATTCTACCACTAAACCACATTCCCAGCCCCCAGCCCACCCCCGAACTTTCTCTGGGCCATCTCTAGGATAAGGGGAGAGAAAAGCTGCTTTGGCCTTCTGAGGGGCTGCTGCCCGGGGTCCCCACCTTCATCTACTCACATCAGCCACAGGCACGAGGGCATCAGCCAGCTGCCCAATCCGGTTATTGCCGTGGAGCCAAGAGAGCAGCAGGAGGCCGAGGATCACATCCATGAGCACAGAGATCAACGTGTTGGCCTTCCTAAAAGGACAGCAAGAGCTGGATGCCTAGGCCACCTCGGAAGGCGTGGCAGGAGGGGCGCAGTGCGCTGGTACAGAGAGGGTGGGCAAGGGGAAAGGGCTGGGGCGTGGCCGTCCCCCGTCCCCCGCCCCCCCCTCCTCCCGGGGGGCAGGCCCATACCTCATCAGCTCCGAGGGGCTCTGGGCCTTCTCAGTGCTGAAAACGAGCGTGAGTTGCTCCAGTCTGTGCCTGAGCTGCTCGCAGGTGGAGAGCTTGCTCCCAATGAAGGGCAGGGGCCACAGCCTCCACAGCCTGGGGTGTGGGCACAAGGTCGACACTGCATTTTCTATCTCCAGTTCCTCCTCCCTGCAGGCCCCTCTTTCCTCACAGGGAAGAAGAGTTAACCCAGCAGGGCAGAGGCAGTGCACAAGACCCATGGCCCAGCCAAGCACAGGGAGGGCTGGGCTGTTCTCCCGGGGCCCCCCCGGTATGGCCACCCTTAGCCTCAACAAACCCGGAGCACACAGCCCACCAGGCAGGCAGCACTGAGCACCAAGACGGTCTGGAGCGGGAATCAGGTCACCTCCCACCCACCCAGGACTTGCTCTGCCTGCCAGATGGCAGCCCAGAGGCTTGGCAAGGGTCCCCGGGCTGGCCTGGCTCCCCATCAAGACTCAATCTCTCACGGACAAAGGAGGCATGGGGACCCTTCCAGATGTCTGCACACTAAGGGAGGTGGAGACGGTGCTGGTAGCAACTCTGCCACATCCACATGGGTGAGAGCACAGAGGTCAGCAAGGTCGGCCAGGCGCCCGTACCCCTGCCCAGGGGCCCTGTGGATCCAGAGGGGACTAGGAACTTCTGAAAGTGCAGCGCTTCAACTAACCCAGCCAGAACCAACGCCTACAGCTCTGGAGGAAAACTAATGCTTGCCAGCCACAAAGACTCAGTGCTCTAGGACTACAAACTGGCCCAGCGGAGACCAAGGCCCCCCTGCATCCTGGAACTGCTTACGGAGGGCACAAAAGGGGCACGAGAGCCCAGAGGACCCACCCAGCCAGCGACACGGACACTAGCCAGCCAACAGCTGCGCTCTTGCCATGCATCAAGGACTCTCACAAACCCTTTGCCTTTTTTTTCTTTTTTTGGGGGGGTCAGCCACAGGGCTTGAACTTAGAACCTGGGCACTGTCCCTGAGCTCTTTTGCTCAAGGCTAGCACTCTACCACTTTGAGCCACAGCATCATATCTGGTTTTCTGGTGGTTAGTTGGAGATAAGAGTCTCACAGACGTTCCTGCCAGGCTGGCTCTAAACTGTGATGCTCAGATCTCAGCCTCCTGAGCAGCTGGGATGACAGGCGTGAGCTACCGCGCCTGGCTGAGAAGCAATCTTCTGCAGGTGAGCACTGCAGGGAGTGAGGCCTGCAGGGACAAGCGGTCAGGGCACTGGGGAAGCGGGCAGCTTCGCTTCCCTGTGACCTCAGAAGGCAGACGATTCCTAGCCAGGGCAGCCAACGACCCTTTGGGAGCAATATCTAAGTTATTTTGGGGACTTGGGCCATCTGTAGTTCAACCTGTGCCCCTAGGCAGTGGACCTCATACAACCCAGAAGCTGCTGAAAACAGTGGATCTAACCCAGTCAGGAATAAGACACAAGAGCCACGGCCATCCCCAGTACTTCAAGGATGCTCAGGGTGGGAGGATGGCCAGGGTCCTGGGTAGGGTCCCCATGGGCCTCCAGCCACAGTAGGAGGTGAGCCTAAGGTTCTCAGGGGCCTGGCTCTCTACTGTACCCCGCCCAGCCCCTGGGCACCTACCAGCAAGTACCGGCAGCAGAGACCAGCGAGAGCAGAGAGGCCAGCAGCAGACAGAGGGGCCCCGAGGCCCACTTTGCCAACTCCACAAGGATGCTGCCTTCCACACCCTCTGACTGCCAATGGCTCAGTCGCACAGGCCCTTCATCGTACCGGTCACCGCAGAAGAGCACCTCACTCTGCGCCACTGTGTCGAAGACGGCAGCCAGACCCCCAGCACTGGCTGTGGCATCTCCGGCCTGCTGATCAGGCAGCACCGCAGGCGGATGCAGCCAGGACAGCAGCACCTTTCGCTGGTCATAGAAAATGAGCATGACCTGGTCCTCGCTGGGGGTGCCCGGGGTGGCAGGCACCTGATGGTGCGTGGCCCTGCAGCTCCAGGCCCTGCTGGCCTTCTCCCGACAGAGCTGCAACCAGGGCTCATGGGTGAAGATGGCACTCAGGCCCTCCAGGAAGTGGCCCAGGCCTTCCTCGGGCTCCTGCTGGTGGTGACACCAGGTGCCCAGCACGGTCACACCGACCCGGCTGGCCTGCTGCACCTGTGCCAGGAGCCGCTTAACCTGGATGGGGATGAAAGGAAAGTGCACCACAGCCAGGACCACAGCACTGCTTTGTTCCGGAACCCACCGACCCACCAGCAGCCCACTGTCTGCTGAGGCACAGCACGTGGGGAAGAAGGCCTTGAGCATCATACCGGGAGCCCTGGAAGGGAAGGAGAGAGCTGGCTGAGAAGTGCTGCCGCCGCGTGGCTGGCTGCAGCGAGGCCGCGGGCGGGGACACGGCCTAGAGGGCATGTCCTTGCCCTCCGGGGTGGGGTGTGTAGTGGCGGCTGTGGGCCATGGCCTTCCATCTCACACAGGCAGCCCCCCAAGCCAGACCGAGCACAGCAGTACCGCGTGCCTCGGCAGGCCAGCGCTGCCTCCCATTCTGAGACAGGCCTGCCCTGGCATGGGGCTGTGGAGCTTCCTTCTTCCTGTGGCTGAGCAGTGGGCCGACGTGACTCCCAACCTCCCCTGCCTACCATAATTAAGCAGGGCAGGCAGCTAGTGAACATGCCTATGGGGAAACCCGTGCGCGACCCCAGCCCCAGTCAAATCCCCGGGCAGCTCCAAAAGCCAAGTTCTCTTCCTGTCCCTTCCTCCTCCGGAAGGCCAGACGCTGGGCATCAGGACGTTATGACAGCTGTTTGGCAATCCTGCTTGAGAGGAGCCCACTGTGGCCAAAGGAGACCAGCCCAGCCAGCCCAGCCCAAGCCTTTCCGTCTCAGCCTGTCAGGACAGCCCAGACAGTAGAGACCCACCATGACCCTCTCTGGGGAACGGGACACCAGACAGCTCAGGGCTGTGGCTGGGGAAGAGAAACACCCTTGGCCCAGCAGTGCGCAGAAGACTGGGGTGGCCACCTAGAATGTTCACATGGGTGAATTCAATGCAATGTGCCCGCCAACCTTTCACTTTAAAAGCCAACCTCCCAAGAAGCTCCTCCCTGTAAGGGAAGAGTGGAGGGCAAAGGTCGGCGCTCTGCTCTGGTGACGGGGCGAATTCCCACCCTGGCGCTCACCTGGGCCGGCTGCGCGGCTCGGGGAGCCTGGGAAGGATGCGGGCGCGGGCGCGGGCGCGGGCGCGGGCGGGCG